AAAGGCAGCTAGTCATCACCACCCACCGCCAACTCTTGGGCGACTCTTTTACCAACAAATAGCGGGATTGACCGTCACATTATAACGCCCCAACGGCTGAAAGGGCAAGCATGTGTGGTGTGACGGGGATTCGAACCCGCGACCCTCAGATTGCGAGTCGAGTGCCGTAACCACATCGCCATGCCGGGCCTCAAGACATTGGAAATTTCCATTAAAAATCCAAAGATCTGACAGATACTAATTCTTATTTATTGTCATAAAGGTTTTTAATAACTAAATATAAAAACTTATAAAGCAGTTAATTCATTCTTCAGGTTTTCATTTTACCATTTTTTCTCTTTCTCAATTAATGGACTTTACCAAAAAAGTCACATAACATTTAAAGTAACCTACATGAGGTATGGTTTAAATAACAACAAAAAGGGGGCTCTAATTATGCTATGTATGTAGATAACATATTTTTCATATGTAAAACATATTAAAAAAGAAGCTCTTAAAAAAAATCTCAGTATCACAAGCAATTTCAATTTAAACTTCTTGTGACTAGCATAAAATAATCTTGAAATATTAGATAAATGTTACATATTATAATTATCCGTTTTCTATAAGGAAATTCTTGTAGCCATGTTCTTCCACACAAACATCTATGACAGATATGATGGTATTTAAACGACGATCAAAGGCTTCAAGATGAGAGTCAGCTAAAATGGGGGCAAGGGGATCTGCCATTAACAGAGTTCTCATGGATTCCGTTAGTGAACCCATGAACAACAACAGCCTATCATAAGTTGTCTTCCTCAGTCTGTAAGAGATAAAAAATAATATTTTTTGTATCTCATATTTAGATTATACAAACAAACTAGTTATGAGTATTAAATAACAGGAATCTCAAATGCTATCAAACTATAGTGCACCATCAGAGAGACTATTTAATATCTCGTCTGATGGACCAAATGTAAAGGAAGATAATATGGAGTTACATGAACAATCACTTGAAAATGAAAGAATATAGAAGCTTGTTATCCTTTTAGCCTTGCAATAAATATATTATTCATAATTCACTGAGAGCTTGGCTTACAGTATTTTGTAAAGACACAGAAGAACTTGCAATTGACTTGCATGAATAGTTCAAGGATCATCATATAAACATGATTTTCTAAACATTCTGGCAGACAGTAAACTGAAATGAAGTCTGTTTTTGCACCATATTGAGACCAGATGGTGTATACTCTTGAATGCTTTAGGAAGAGCCATACAAAAATGGTATGCAATTAAGAAATACTTCTTGGGGTTTCTATGAGGAGATTCCAAGAAACAAAATAGACAACATGAAAGCCACTAAATCAAAACAGTTTATATAAAAGGATGTTTCAAGTTATATAGAGGCAAGAATGGTGTCTGACATATCCTTCCTTATGTCAATAAACTCTTTCAGCACAGGCCGACCTTGTAACCATTTTGTGCTTGTTATAGTTTTCATGCTATAGCTTTTAAATTAGTAAGTGTATATTAACAAAATTGGGCAGATTATCAGTAAACATTACAATGCTTTCAGAAGCAAAATATCAATTTTTTTTTATTAAGTCTCAAGGTTTGTAAAGCAATGGTTTTCTCGTACCTTTTTTTCTTTTTAACATGTTGCCTATCGAACATGCAAAGTAATTTTCATTTTAAGTTTAAAAATACTTTTACTCCTTCGGTGAAATCTTTATAATGTTCAGATAGTTATCAAATGTTTCTTAAGAAAAAACTTTATATTTTATCTGTTGTTTCAGTAACAAATCTCTGTACAGGTTTGGTAGATTTGACCGATCTTGTAACCATCATAAAAAATTTGAAATAAATATAAATTATGCCTCTTTCATTCTAGAATGACAACAAATTATAACACAAAAACATAAATGTTCAGACTAAATAGCTTAAATCTCATAATATTATACATATATATATATATATATATATATATATATATA